TCTTGAAAATCCAGTCCATCCCCCAGTCCTGTTAATTCTGTGTTGGAATACTTCTGGATGATGCCTTTTCATTTTACAACCCCACTGCATCACCTTAATTCTTGTCATTCCTCCTTATATTGAAGCAGAGCTTCCTGCTCAAAATCCTTTGATGACTCAACATTTCACTGAGAATAAAATCCTAAGTCTGTCTAGTATCCCAGGCAAGAGAGACATTTGCCTTGCGCCCCATGCTTTAGAAGACCCAAGAGTGGCCATGTCTCTCCCTGCAGCGTGAGGCGTTTGCAGAACTGACAGTGTCCTCTGGAGCTCTTGACCCCACCACCCATTGCAGTCTGGGATCCTGGGACTCTGGAAATCTCTAAACGGCCCTAAGCCTGCTCCCAGGCCTGTGGGCTTCTTCCTCAGATCCACTGCCCAAGGGCTGACCTTGCTGCCAGGGTGCACCTCCCCACATCCAGAGACTTCCCTTGCTCTCTCTGGTGAGACTGCCTCGTGCAGATTGCGGGAGCAGCGCCTCTCTCTCCAGCATGCACAGCTCTCCTCTTTCCCAAGGCATTCAATTCCACCTAACATACCATATAATGTACTCATTTATATTAGATTACATTTATATTAGATTATCAGCTGCTATTTTACGTAAGAATATAATCACTAAAAGGACTGACATCTTTGTTTCGCGTACTACTATCCTTCAGTCCCTAGAGCCGTGTCTGGTAGGACGTTGGCACTCCGATAATACTGGCTGAATGAATGAGTCCTTTACCTGTAGGCAGAAGAATCTCCTGAACATGGAATTACCAAATGTGATCATGACACTCCTGCTGAAAAGACTTCAATAGCTCCCACTATTTATAAGGCCTTAGCGTGGACTACACAACCCTGTGTGATCTGGTCCCTCCTGCCTCAGTCACAGAAATAATACATGTGCTCTCCATGACTAGGTCCTCACAGGGGCTCTGAGTCTAATCTCTCATATCTGATCTTACTTTATCTTGTCTAATCTTATTTTCTATCTCAATTTCTACTTGAGCTCAAAGAAACTGTCCTGCGTCATAAATATTTCCTTAAGTGGCCTTACGTTCTTCTGCCTTCAACACAAGGAGATAAGCCTTTCCTAACTGCTCTCAGCTGTTCCTCTTGCCTTAATTGTTATCTGCTATTAACTAGTGTTAACTAGTGTTAACTAGGTAAGTAATAGCACTTGCCTATACCTGGTATAATAACTGGTTACACATCTGTCTTCTGTGCTAGAACAAGAGTTCTTGGAACTGTGTTAGGTCCTTATAATAATTTTCTTTTTCTTTGTGTGTGTTTGTGTGTATATGTGTGTGTGTGTGTGTGTATAGTGTGTTTCATGAGTGTTTATAACTGTTTATAACCAATTACGATTGTTCCCTGAATGGACAGATGAATGAGTGCATGCATGGCAATTTAGTATCATACTCTGAGACTACTGGCCCCCAAGTTGACTCTGTTGTCTATTGGAGAAACAGAAAACTTAATTTGGTTAATAATTTTGGCCCCAAATAAGAAAGAAATTTTAATCAGTTTAAGTCACTGACAGTGGAATGGGCTGCTAATGGGGTGGGGACATCACCCGCCCCCTTAAAATTGCTTGAGTGAAGGTGCATGTTGAAGGAAGTGCTTCCACAAGAGATGGGAGATTAAAAGAATATCTCTTTAGTAGGATTATTTACAAGGTTGTCTCCCCAAAGAATGTTCCCATAGGTACCCCAAGCCCCTCACCAATCTCTCTCAAAAGGCCAGTCCATCTCAATGAGATCTTTGCCCTCTGGGCGCTTTAGGAAAATGACATTTTTCTGAAAGAGCAGGTTCTGGAAACCTTCAATATTAGGAAAGTATGAATTCTTTTCTGTTCATGCTGGCAAAGCCTGAAAGAGTTTATTTGGAGAACTTATAGAGTACATTGCCAAAATTAAATAACTCAAGGATAATTTATAAAGCATCCATATGTAAGGCTCTCCTTTGGCCAAAAGAGCATAGAGATGACTCTTCACCATGAGATGAAATGAATGTGTTCAAACAACCATGCCTCCTCTTCAATCTCGTCTTTTAAAATTCACCTTGGTCTGGATGTAAGTATCTTACTGTCCAGGGCTGCATGGCTTTTCGTTTTTATCTTAATTGTATATTCCTTACGTGTGAGCGGCTTGGGCTGGAGCTTTCATGAGACAGGATGCTCATTGTAGCTATCTGTTCTCAGGCAAGCTACCCTCAAAGGGGTACATTGGAACATGAGCAGAAAAAATCAGTTTTCAATCACATAATCAGTTTAGCTGAATTTCTTTACTTCCAGATAATTCTTAATTAATTTCTGGGTAATTCTTAACAATGCTGCCCATGAACACACCCTAGCAGTTGAGATGTCATCGTGGTATAAAACAGAACAGAACAGCATAGGATAAAAGATTCAAGAACATTTTCTGGTGCCTCTACGAAGAGTCATGAAGGGTCTCTCACTCACAAGTTCTCAGGCTTGAGAGAGAGAGGAAGCAAAAGCTACTCTTTAGATTGGTGAAAAGTCCTGCTCAGATTGCTGCCCTGCCTTTGCTCTCCCCCGGGTCACTAGGGAAGCTGTTTCTTTTGAAGGTGTGGTCTCTGACCTAGGCATTAGAAGACAATAGTCTATTTAACCTCAGTTCACGTTTAACTTAAATTCAAATTGCATCTCAACTCTTTAGCCAACAAACACTATGCCCCCACTTTTCGCAAGTCTTCAAGTTAGGGAATCAATTCAAATCAAAGTGGGGAATCAAGAAAAGGGTTCAAGTAAGAAAGGGCTCCTGCCCTTGAAGACATGATGTCATAGTCAGAAAGCCAAAATTCTGTACACACGAAAAATGGTAAGAAGTGATGTGAAAGGTGTTGCATGAAAATGCCCAAAGTATGGAAGCTTACTGGTGGAAGGATACTTCTAAGATGAATGGGCTTTGGAGAATTGGAGCTACTCTTGAGGGCCTGAAGAAATGTTAGAAATAATCTCAGAGGTTCACACACACAGAGGTTGTTGAGGGGGACTGGGAGTAGCATATCTACACTGGAAATACAGGTTGAGCCAAAAATGTCAAGGGCTTAATGCCAGGTAGAGCTGCCAGGAAGAGATAGTGACAGTTACTAAAAGGAGTATTTAAAATAGATTAAAGGTGGTGGGGTTTTTTGTTCTTTTTTTTTTTTTTTTTTTTGTATACAACTGAGGGAGTGAAATGGAACGCCAGTCATTCAATTAGAGGGTCATGGTATTAATCCAAATATTTGGTAAAGTCCCTGATTCAGGGTCAGAAAAGGGAAGAAAGGCAGAGGAAGGAGAAACTTACTACAAGGCAATTCACAAAACAATTGACAAAGCAATTAACAAGTGATCATCCATTCAGGAAAGAAGGAGAAGCAACAAGTGGACTGTGGTTTTGAGACCTGACAGTTAAAACCATACTGACGCCACAGCAGAAGGGTGAGACGAAGGAAATATTAGATCAGGAGCCAGGTTTTAGAGCTGGGTTCTATGGAATGAATTGGTTTTGAGTCATGAAGGAATTGAAACAATACAAGAAAAATGAAATCCTAAAGTTTGGGACACAATTCAGTGATAGAGACAAAGATAAAAAAGTTATTCCGATATGCAAATGTTAATTGACATTGGGGAATGAATCAACTTTCTTATGGGGAGACTATAAAAACACAGGTTAGAGAAAAAGGTCTGAAGTCTGACGAATGCCCCCAAATTAGGGGAGCGGGTATAGGAGACGAGAAGAAGGCAAAGAAGAAATGGTCCTAAGACTATGAGAAGCTTCCCCACTATAGTGTCTCAGACCCGAGGGAGGAAAACTCTAAGCAGCAGAGGGCGTTGATAACAGAGGTCTGGAAAATGAGAAGTGGAACAAGCCCTTAGAGGGGTTAGAGAGGGCTGGAAGGCATTGAGCTGACTGGGGCTGGCTAAACTTTCAGATTCCCTCATGTCACCTATGCACTGTGCCAGGCACTTGGGATTGAGAGAACCTGAAAGGAGCAGTCCTTGCCCAGGAAGAGCTCTGGCTGAATGGAAAGGCTCCCACACAAGCGAAATATGGGAGAAGACACCTGGAAGCTGCAGGTAAGGAAGAGCTGCTGGTAGTGAGAGTTCAAGGGGTGAACATGCGTAGACCACTTCTGCTCTCAGAGCAATATGGCTCATCCACTCCTCGACTCTCAGGCTTGGAAGGGAGCTTGGAGAATATCCAAGCAATTGGCGTTTGACTCCTGAGACCATGTCTGATTATCGCTGACACTGAGTATTCTTGCTGTGCATTCTGTCAACGGCTATCTGTGATTCCATTCCACAGAACCATGGGAGTTCAGCGTCAGAAGGCCTTATTTGTAGGGAATTTCACTCAAGCCGCTCCTTTCAACCCTCTCCCATGAGAATCCATAGTCACCTCTTTTCTACTATCTGCACCCAGGCAGTGAGCAATGAAGAACAGAGGCCGCAGGTTTCTCTCATTTAGCTAAATTTGCTCTAATCGAATCATGTTGTTTTTTTTAAAGTAACGGTTGCCTGTATTATAAGTTAATTTAATTGTAGGTGCATTTTTGTTGTTGCTCTTCTGTGTTTTAAACAGCTTATTCTTAGAGCATAGCTTGTAAACACTGGCTCACCTGGAATGGCGATTGCCTGCCAAAGGGATAACCACAAAAGATGTCTATTGTAAAAAAAGACACCAATTTTTAAGTTCCAATGATCCTCCCCAAATCGTAAGCTGAGAGACAATCTCAAGAAAGTTCGTTTCTTTTTCCCTGCACATTTATTACATGCAGAAAAAAACAAACAAACCCTCATCTCCTAAAACTTTCCAACACGAGTAATAAGTAGACGAACAAGGAAGAGAAATCCCACTATTTTCGAGACAGCCAGAAATGAGCTTGTTGGTGTCTGTGAGCACAACTGCCAAGGCTGATTTCCTCTTGCCGCCAGTGGTGTGGAGTGAAAGTCTGCCCGCACTTACCCAACCGTGGCGGCCTCATCACCATCTGCAACACCGGCTCAGGAGAGGAGAAAGTCTCAGCCTCCTAGATACTCGCAGCAGAACTTGGTACCTCTCCTCAGGGAAAGACGCAAAGGAAAATAAAACAAACAGTTGCCCTTGCATCAGATCCCCTCCTGGAAGCCAACAAACAGCCAAAACAAAACAAAACAAATGTAGGTTATGCCTTGAGCACTACAACAAGCAGTAGCTCCAAGGCAGGACTCCTTCTGGCTGGCAGAGGGACGTACGAGGATGGGTCATGAAAAACCGTCACTTAAGGTACTTGAGGCAAGGGAGGAAAAGATATCCTCTCCATCCAGCTCAGGCTTCCTTGTAACATGAGGCTAATTCAAACCAAAACTGGCTGTGAGGAACTGACCGAAGCCCAGCCTCCTGAGAAGTTTTGGTTTTGCTTTAAGCATGGCTTCTTGGCCCTTGGGTACTCCTTGAACCATGTCCCTGGGGAAGCAGGTACAAGCATAGTGGTAGGAGGGGGGTGGGAAAGAACGCCAGCATGTTCTCGCTCTGCGCCTGGAACCTCACACAGGTACCTTTGTGAGCTTCCCAGTGCTGTCGTCAGGAGTTATCACAGACGGGGTGGCTTCAAACAACAGACACTGTGCTCTCAGCGCTCTCACATTTCTGGAGGCGACAGACGTGTGAAAACAGGCCACACGCCCTGTGAAGGCTTCAGGGAAGAATGCTCCCTTGCCTCTTCCTAGCTTCTGGCAGATTCTGGCAAGCCTTGGCATTCTGGGCTTGTAGCTGACCACTCCAATCTCTGTCTCCATCTTCACATGACCTTCTCTATGTGTATCTTCAAATGTCCTTTCCCCTTCTTAGGACACCAGCCATTGGATTATTGCCCACCCTAATCTAGGATGACCTCCTCTTAATTAATTACACCTGCAAATACCCTACTTCAAATAAGGTCATATTCTGAGGCTCCAGGGTCTCATAAATATTTGGGGAACACTATTTAACCCACTATGGTACTCCATTTCTTTCTTGGAGCAATGTGTGGTCTAGACACCATTAGGCCCATTTTACACATGAAGAAAGAGCCGAGGTTGCATAGTTGCATTTGAACTTAGGCCGCTGTGATCCCACTACATTGTGAAGCTTTTCGCTAGTAAGACTCAAAGCAGGTGCAAGAGAAGGCCAATGTGGGCCCAAGTCTGGATGACCAACGCCGTCCTATGCCCCGTTCCCTCGGGCTCATAAGGATGGGATGAGCAGGGACAGGGCGCTGAAGCGCAGATAGGACCTGTTTGGTTTTTTTAGCCATATTTCTTTAATGTTTTCTTGTCCTCTCTCCATGCCTTCCCTTTCATTGGTTTTCTTCTGAAAAAGTGGCGTTCTCCTTTCCTCTTGTTCTTTTAACTGTATCCCTCAAACAAGAGGGACGGAAACTTGTATTGACTACAGATGGGACTGGCTGCCTAGACCCCAAGGATGGGGCTGTGTCTGTGGGAAGCTAGCCTTCCCCCGGGGACCTGCTTCTCCACCCTCAGCTCCAGGTAGGCAGTGGCAGGGCGGATGTCTGCTCTTCCCCGACCTTCTTCCCCAGCTAGCTGATGGTCTGAGGAGTGGGCTGTGTCCCCTGTGTGGCTCTCAAGTTTACTGTCTTCGGGACCCCCACAGCACCCGCTGGCGTTCCTGCTTGTCTTGAAGAGAGGGCCTCACTCCCACGGTATGCCTTCCTCTGTCTGGTCTAAGCCCCTCCCTCTCTGCCTACTTCTTAGCTCCCAGCTCTTCTCTGCGCAACTGAGGCTTAGGAAAACAGACTCACCTCAGATGGGGGAAGGCTGGGGTGTTTTGACAACAGCACCCCAAAACACCTCAAACTGGAATCTCAGCACATCTGCTTGCCTCCTAAATCCATACGCTTTGACAAAACACCAGCAGGATAGATGCCAAAGTGTTAAGAGTGGTGTTTCTGGGTGCAGTGCTTGCAGGTGATTTTTTAAAGGTGCCTTCTTTTACCTTTATTTCCCAAGTAACTTGCCATGGACACAAAGGACTTCTGTAAAGACACAGAAAAATAATCCTTTAGAATCAGTAATGGACAGGACAGTTCAACTCCTAAACAATAGCAACAAGAAAACATTTTAAGAATTTGGCCAAGAGCTTATGTCTGTTCCCAATTTATTTAATTCAGTGCTGTTCCCTTTATAATAAAAGATCCTGGGGAGGCATAGCTGAATTGTGTGTGTGTGGGCGCGTGTGCACGTGCAGGGGTGGGTAGGATACAGACCACTACGTGTTGCACTGATGCTTGGTAATAGAAAATCAGGATCCAGGTCATAAATAATGCAGTATGAGCAGCACAGCAATAACCTCATCAGGGTACACCACCAGCCTACAAGGGCCCACCCAACTGTTTTGTAGAAGGGAAAACTGATGCAAAGAGAGATGGTACATCTTCACCAGGATCACCTTGTGAATGCAAGGCAGAAGTCACTTCTATCCTTTCTTCCCCAGATATTTTCCTCCAAATGCAGTGTATGTAATGTGATGTGATGTGATGTAAATGTTCATGGAAAGCCCCTGGAAGAGTCCTTGTCAAACAGCAGGAGCGAAATCAGCGTTAGCTAGTGCAGATTCAAAAAACAAGTCCAATCCTTCCCACCCGGCTTCACATTATAGAGAAAAATAAATAAATAAAATAAGAGAACACACAGCCTAAGGGTGAGAGAGAAGTGCAGCCAGCGTTTTGGGGAAATGAGCCAAGGTCAAGAGGGGTGAGAACTGCAAGGAAGGAGCAGCTTATCTGAACAAGTCTCAGCGCCTTCCCCAAGGACAGCAGCAAGACAGCTCCTTCTCTGCTCCCAGAGAACCCAAATTCTGCGGGTTTATCTGGAATGTGATGACTAGCAATGATGGCTAGCACCCTCTCTTGAAAATGGAGAATGTCATGGGTAGCTGGAGGCAGAGAGGGGAGAGGAGACCACCTGGGGGCCATCCTGAAAACCACCCTTCCTTGACCCATGATCAGCCCAGGGACTGGAGGTCAGCCTCTGGAGATCCTACGGAAGTCACCCACGTGGCTTGGATCCTACTTGGCCCCTGCCTGTGAAGTAGGGCATAGCCTTCCCCTGAGGAAAGGGAGGGTGCGGATGGGAAGGGTGTTCTGGCCAGAACAACAGAGATGGATGTTTGTTTTTAGAAGCAAAAAGGTCAAGGTTTGGTTCATTCCTGAAAGCAACTCAGATAAAAGGGAGGTTTATTTTAAGTTGAATAGGTTGACCTGAGTTACTGACAAAGTACGCTTCCTGCCCATCTCCTCCCAGGTGACTGCATAGGGAGAAACACTTGGGAGACACGTTCTTGTGGAGAACAGTTATGCAGTCACAAAGGTCAGATTCAGTAAGGGGAGTCTCTGAGGTCCAGGGCCAGGAAACGAGGGCTGAGAGTGGAAGAGTGGCAGAGGCTGACCTGGTCCGCTAGCCTCTCTAATGTACAATACAAGATACGGATTCCAGAGACAAGGAGGACATTCTGGGGACCTGAAGGGAATGTGGACTGTTCTCTTCCCCTCTCATCTTTGGGGGAAAGAAAGGGATGCTGGATATCCTGAGGGTTGAGAGTGCTCTTAATAAAATGTGACACCTGCTTCTTGCTTGGAGTTTCTGAAGGGGCGGGGAAGTTTCCCTGAAGTACACCAGGCCTGGGGATGGGAAAGGCCGTGAGGATATTTTCAGGGATGAAGAAAATAGGGACACCCCTCATCTCAGGCCCTGGAGCCCTCGGTGACCATCAAAGACTCCATGGCTTCTGTTTCCTCAGGGGGCACAGAAGGGAACTAAGCCACAGGCACAGGGGTCCTAGGCCTGTATCAGAGGCCACACTTACTGGCCTGAACCAGACCCAGCCTGGGGTATTTGTCTCTTCCACAGCAAGATAGCTGAACCATTGTTTACCCTGTCCTGGGAGTAAGGGGAAGACTGAAAGGGATATGAGATGGGAATTTCAAGTGGGACTGGGCTCTGGCAGTTCCCTAAATGTTAAACCTAGAGTTACTATATGACCAAGCACTCCTCTCCTAGAAAGGAATATAACCAAGAGAAAATGAAATACATGTCCATATAAACATGTGTGCCCCAATGTTTGTAGCAGCATTAGTCATTACAGCCACAAGTGGAGCAAACTCAACTGTCCAGCAGCCGGTGAATGGATAAGTCCACGCTGGTATACCCACCCAGGGGAACAGCAGTCAGTCTCAAAAGTGAATGAAGTACTGATTCAGTCTAGAGCGTGGATGAACCTCGACAATGTCATGCTCAGAGAAAGAAGCCAATCTCAAAAGATCACATACTGGGGCACCTGGGTGGCTCAGGCGCAAAGCGTCTGCCTTCGGCTCAGGTCATGATCCCAGAGTCCTGGGATCGAGCCCCGCATTGGGCTCCCTACTCTGTGGGAGGCCTGTTTCTCCCTCTTCCTCTCCCCCCTGCTTGTGTTCCCTCTTTCGCTGTGTCTCTCTCTGTCAAATAAATAAGTAAAACCTTTTTTAAAAAATCACATACTGTATAATTGCACGGATATGAAATGTCTATAATAGACAACCTCCAGAGACAGAATATAGTTAGGGGTGCCCTAGGACTGGGACTAGGAGGGGATGTGGAGACAGGACTACTAAAGAGTATGGGGCTTCATTTTGGGATGACAAGAATGTTTTAAAATTGATTGTAGTGTTTGCTGCACAACTCTGTCCATATACAAAAAGCTACTGAATGGTACACTTTAAATGGGTGAATTGTATGGTAAGTGAATTATATCTCAAAAACTTGTTAAGAGAACTGGAACTGAACTGAGTCATAAGTGAGCTGCAAATTATGAAACTGGACTGAGATATGATGAAGCTCACTCTCCACCCAACGGGCGGGGGGACGGGAGGACGCACGGGAGGTAGAGGCCGCTTCAGCCACGTAGCCCACAGAAGCTCGTCAGAGAGAAATGGAAGAAGGCAGCAGAGAAGAGAGAGATAGCCCTGACTAGAATTCTGGTCCTTGTTCTAGTTCCTTCTGCTGTCTGGCCTGTGGTTTCAGCATTAGGTTTGCTGGAATTTTGCTGGAATTCCAAAACGATTAGGTTTGGAATTAGTTTTGGAAATTTGAAATTCCAAAATATTTTGGAATTTTTGCACAAGTGTTACATCAGACAGTTGTAATTACACAGAGGAGCAGAGGAACCTGAGATTCCCTCACTGCTATATGCTGACCTTGGCCTGGCCTCAGCTGCGGTGGTTTGGGGGAGAAGGATAAGGTAAAACTAAGGAACTAAATAATCTACATGGATCCCAATGT